GCCTGTAAATTTGTTGAATAACCTTTTGTGTGTATATATATATATTTATTATTATATATATATTTATGTAATAATTTAGGCATTGTTGAGTTATCAGTTAAATGTTTATTCAGAATAATTTTGTATTTTTAAGGAAATAAAAACTTAGTTACTAAGTAATACATTGAATTTATTTTTGAGACTTTCTTCAGCGGCTGTAGAAAATTTAAACACATGAAAACGATGCTATGGTGCCGCATACTGTCATGCCAACTATTAGTGACGAAGCTTGCCTTTCTCAAATAATAACAAATATATATTAAACAACACTCTAGTCATGGCTCGAGAGGTGCGTGAGGAAGTTGTACAGTACTTAGTGGAGCATTGGGATAAGGTTTCCATCTTATCTCACATCAGAGATGGAAATTTTTTTAATGCTTCTGCAAATGATGCTAAAATGTCCTGAACTCACACTAACTGTTTGTAGGATTTAATAGCTAGACAGTTAAAATTAAGGGCAACAGCTAGACAGTTAAAATTAATATCTATAGTTTAAAACTAATTAAAGTGTTAGGATTGGAGGAGGGGTTGAAGAATTTGAATATTCTTTCTCGTCTTCTTTTTTTTACTTAGTTTATTATTTGCTTATGTATTTGATTGTAACCATGATATATTTTTGTTTTGTGTACCTGGCAACTTCAATGCCTAATAAGTTTGTTTATGTTCTATATTTCTTCCCGTCTAATTCTGCATTAAGTCTTTTCGTAAATATGTAATGAAAGAATTGAATTTTCTTTTCAAAAAATCTTCGTGAAATTTTTGCGTGCTGTCCTACTTAAGATAATTGTTACTTGACGGACTTGGATCACTCAAAATAGAATGGAAAGAACAGTTGCTAACGTAAGCAAACGCCACGTTTCAGCAACCAATCAGGATCGAGATACTCACACTACGTCCCATAGTTGATAATACTGAGGAACAAGTATTTTTTGCTTGTTTTTATTTCTTGTTTTGAACGGATCTCAGGTTTTTTCTTGTCGCTGATTTCAAATATGCAATCGGTTTCTCTCTATAAGTTACAGTGTTTCTGCAATTTAATAATATAATTCTCACCAGGACTTTTTTGTATTATAGGGCAAACTAACCAGTGAAGGAACACTTAAGCTTCGCTTGCCTTTTAAAAAATCATATTAATTTCAAAATTCGTAATTTCAGTTAAATGACAGTGTCAACATATTTGTTACTAATTGCAAATTATGTAAAAAAAATGTAGAGAACTTACATAATATTGATTTAAAGTTTTGGAGATTCAAATAACAAGTAGTAAGAAAACCAAGTGAAGGAACAGCTCTTACCAGTGAATGAACACCCAGTAAAGGAACAATTAAATTTTGGTTATTTTTTAATGCTCTTTACGAATTTATAAGCCATACAAATATTTAAAAACAAACCTATTCTTGAAATTGTAACATATAAATACTTGAAAAATGTTAAATTTTTTTTGCAATCAGGAATTGAAAATTAAAGTGTCGACATATTAACACATACTGTTCATTCAGTGGGAAATCTATGCCCAGTAAAGAAACATGCCTGTTCCCTCACTGGTAAGAAGTTGTTTTTCGTATTTTTAACATACCTTTGCGGAACATCACTAAAGGTACAAGAAAATTAAAGTTTATCTTTTATTTCCATTAACTTAGAAAAAAAAACAGTAAAGCAACACTTGTTTCTTCACTGGTTTTTCATCGTTTAATGATCCAGTGAATAAACACCCCCTTGTCTCAGTACTTTATTATGCTATGATGCTTAAAAAAAAAAAAACGTAACTTCATAAACTATATTTTGAACTCTCTCACTGTGAAAAGTGAGAAAAATAAAACTATTACATGCAATTAATTCTAATTCAAACATATAAATACAAACACTCACCTTATAATTTTTTCAAAGAAACAAGGTGTTGCAGAGTTAATAACAAATTCAAAAATTTTTCCAGAGGTAGTCTATTTGACCAGATAATCCAAAACATTGCTCGATGACTTCTTATTGTTTGGCAGTAAGCTTTTGTTACCAATCAATCTAAAGAAAAACTTTCAAATTCTTATTTTTAATCAATATATATGAAATGTTCCTTCACTGGGTAGTGTTCCTTCACTGGTTGGTTTATCCTATTTGAATGAATACTTAGGCTCCCTAATTCTCAGCAACGAAGGCAGTGGTAGGAGGATGGCAAAAATACATTTTTGCTTATAACGTGTTAGGTTAAGGTTATATGGTTTCGTCTTAAGTGTTATTTTAAAAGAAGCAGACAAATGTATCTGTATGTATATAAATCTATGGGTTCTTTATAAACATAAGCAAAAATTAAACTAACTAAACTATCATTTTTAAAAAAAATTGCATCTGTTGAAACAAAGCTAATTTCATATTTGAAATCCCTCACCCGAATCAAAAGTCCAAGTACTTGTATGAATGCACCAAAAAATTTGTTCACCAGAGTATTCTTTGCTAATTGTTTAAATTTTTTGGAAGATAATTTTATATATTTTGACGATAATTATTTAGATCAAAATTTGTGTACTATTATGTGTTCTATTATTTGTGTACTATTTGTGTACTATATTTACTATTATGTGTTATTTTTAGCTTGTTTTTTTTTCTTCTTATCAATAGCAGAACATGAGTTTTACTATACTAAATTTTTATTTTATCTTTTCCGAATTAACTTATTGAATAACATAGGATTCTTTTATTATTCCTAAGTCATAATTTGATTCACCATATAAATGAGAAAAAGAACAGTCTCTTATAAAACTTAAAGAAATATAAAAAACACTTAAAGAAATATAAATTACTGAATTCGAATTATTAAATTATTCTTTAAAAATTATAATTAGTGGATTTTAAGGAGATAAACAATTTTTTTTCATGATAAATTGATAATTTTTGGTTGAGTTTTTCAATATTTTATAACTAAAACTGATAGCTGGAATAGCCGAAAATAGAACCTGTAATTTGCTTAGCTGAATTATCCGATAGAAATGTCTAAGCTAACATCAATTCACTCATCTGTCCACTAGAAATTCATCAATGATCAATCAGTTACAGATGCGACCAATAGGAATAAGTTTCTATTAGGATAGGAAAATATGAATCATTCTATAGGAATAGTAAAAACGAAAATTGATTAAATGATAGTGTATCACTGATTTAGTTCAGACTCTGATTTAAACATGACCATAGATCAGATATAAGAATAGCATAATAAAAAAAGGTTTTTAATACCTTATTTTTCAAGCACAATAACAAAGACAAAATATCTTTGTTGCACGTAAGGCGAAAAAAATCATGGAGCATCGCTTACTTTTAGTATATATTAAACTAGGCGTCTATGACAAAATGCTGCCTGTCGCTCGTCAACCCCCGAGCAGCTTCCCCAGCTCTTTTTTGATAGCTTCACGACCGGTGTAACGACCTCAGCAAATACTAAAACATGGAATTTTTGTATATCCGCTTAAGCAACATGTTGGTACATAGACCAAAACTATTTCTCATTATATGCATATGTATGTATGTATATTGTCTTCCTTTATTTTTGTTTTATGTCTAGTTTATGACGGAACATTTGATTAGCGTTAAATTCCAATTGGCGATAAATTTTATTTGGCGATCAATTATGTTTGGCAATAAATTATATTTGGTGACAAATTCGACTTGATGATCAATTCTATTTGCTGATAAATTGTGCTTGTAGAAGTCAGAAAACGGTTGAGACTTTTATTGTCATCATACTCAGAGCTTCAATTGAAATTTGAGCGATTTTGATTGATATCGATTTACGATTGAGCTGCATATCGATTGACGATCCATTCTAGTTGGTGATAAATACTACCTGTTAAGAACAGGAAACTATTGAAAATTGTATTGTATAAAGATAGAGCTTTATATAAAATGTAAGCATCTTTTTCATTTGGAAAGTGGTTGAAATTGAGAAAAGATCTGGATGAATGTTAACAACATATTATAAAAAATGCTCGTTATAGTCTATAGCTTTGTTTGAGCTTTTGATTTTGCATGTTACGATTGGTAGATTATGTACTGTTGGAAGACTATATGTACTATTGGTTGAATATGCACTGTTCGTAGACTATGTACTATGTAGCTTAGGTATCTGTATGAAGATTACTTGAATTTCAAATGCTTAATAATATCTAAATTTATTAATTATTGTTATCAATAATTTTTAACTGAAATATTTGCTGTAATTCAGATTTGTAAAGTTTCTCGATAACTTTTTTTATATCTTTGAGTTTATGGTAATTGTTTATTGTTATCATTACTATGAATATTAACTCTTTATTTAACTATGCATATTAACAATTTATATTTGTGTGTAACAATGTGTGGTAAAAAGTATGTGTTAAAAGTATACGAAACTAAAAGGTTACGATCTTATTCATGAAGTCTTCAATTTCTCAACTAAACTCGTCAGATTAAAAAAAAAATGTATATTCTGTGATAGTTCATTTCCATAAAACTTCTTAACTAATTCTTCAAGAGCGTTCAACACTTTATTACAACAAGGGTAATTGTTTCTGCAGTTTGAAGGCAACTGCTCCTCGGTTTTTACAACCTCTCTCCGTGAAGGATGAAGAAGACGTCCGCACTTTGGAGTGTCGAGTTGATGGATATCCCAGGCCGGACATTTTCTGGGAAAAATCTGGCAGAGCAGTTGGAAAATCTAGAAGAATACATATGACTCGATCCGGAGACAGGCAAGTATATCAACAATATACAAATTTATCCATGAAATATCACAAATGATTATTAATGAAATATTATCCAAAGTAAATTTAGTTTAGAAGTAATTAAAATATAAAACTTTTTTCATAGTCATAAAAATAATGGTAATTATCATAAGTTATTTAATACTTAATAAATTATTTAACTCTTTTATCTTTTCTTTTAGTGGCTTTTCTCAGATTTAAATAACGTTCTCTTATAGAGAATGCAAATTCATTCAAAATTAGAATAAGTCAAACCAGGTATATATTATATGAAAAATTGTGTTGAAACTATGTTAATAATACAATTTTAAAAGGTTCGGGCTTACTAACATGTTTTTGAGCCTATTCTACAATTAAAATATTATATATGTATTTTTTTTGTAGTATGAACAAAAACACAATTTTAAAATGCATGATTTAATGAATTAACTTTCGAATGTCTTTTCTATTATTAAATTTAGCAATAATAAAAATTAATTTGTATACTTAAACATCAGCCTATATAAATTATAAATAACAGTATGCTTATCGTTTACAATACGATATTTTTTATTGCAAGTAATATCGTACTGCGATAAAATTCCTCAAATTCTAACAGAAGGAGCTAAAATGTCATTTTACATGTTCTTCTACCATGCCATGCAATTAACAATTCCAATAAAAAAATTTTTTCTTGTTTTAACAAAATGTAACTTTTGGTAAGTAAGATTTAATAAACTAAATTTCGAAAAAAAATTTTCTCCATTAAAATGATCGTTTTAAGATCAAATATCGATCTGCAAGAGTCATAATTATTTTAGATAAAAGTAAGTTAAAATGCCTTCCATCATCTGAAGGAAAACTCAAACGCAATAAAAGTAAGTGAACCAAAGGAACAAAGTAATAATTTAAACCAAATGTTTCTTTTAGATAACAATAAAATCATTCATAAAGCCTACAGTTTTCTAGCATATGAATTATTAAACATTTTAAAGTATAAAAGAGCTCTGTTTGTTAAGTGTTTTTATTTCGTAGTGAGTGAATGACAGATGATTCTTAACCATGATTTATTTTACTAATCGGCATTCATTGTTATTTTTTCTCAAAGGGAAAAGACATATTGCAAATTATTTTTCCGATTTTGTGTGTAATAATACATGAATTAATAGCTGAATTTTTTTTATATTTATAACACACGTCTCAGCAGTGTTTTAAACGTTATTTACTTGTGAAATACCATAGTACACTTGTTCACTTGTAAAAATGTTAATAGAAAAAGTTAAGATTTAAACTCACTAAAAAATTAATTAAATCTTTAAAGCTATAGTAAAAAGAATTATTAACTGTAAATCATTCTCTAAAAATATGAAGAAAAAAAAACCACTCTGTAAAAATAATAGTACATTATTTTTACACATAGATTTGGCTTGAAGAAATATAGTGATAGACGACATTTTCATTGAAAATTGACATTTTTGAATTTGATTGTTCTTTAGCATATTATTTCCAGATAGGTACTTGACTGGTTTACGGGACTTACATTGGATAACAAGAAACTTGAAAATTGAAGTGTTTTTCTCCAAAAATGATCTGCACACCAACTTAAAAATCTTAAACTGTTATATTCCCCTGAAACACCCGGCTTATTTGTTCTATTTTTCTTCTAATTTAGCTGCTCCGATAAACAACTATACATATTTTAATTTTTTTTTTAAGTGCCCACTTTTTGTAAATTCTAATTTTTCACTTCCATCTTTTTTTTTTTTTTTTTTTTTTTTTTTTTTTTTTTTTTTTTTTTTNTTTTTTTTTTTTTTTTTTGATTTGATTTGAGCGAAATTTTTTACTTTTTAACTTGAGACGACAGTAACATCATTATCAGGTATATACAAAAATGAAAATTTTTTCTTAACTTCATTTATGTTTATATAAAATAGTATTAAACACAGAAAAAATTTCTCTTAGTTTTATAGTCATCATTACCTGAGTATGTAAAAACGAATTTAAAAATCATTTGGATGCGAAAAACTTAATAAATATTTATTGAAAATCGAATTCCTCAATGAAATTAAATCACAATCCTCAAAGAGCCTCTTTTTCACTAAAATTAAAAGTTCATATAAATTTTTGCATGTTTTCGTTTTCAAATATTTTCTATTTATTAAATTATTCGGAAATGGCTCTTTCGCCAACAATCCTTGATAAAAAGTACGTAAACTATTGATAAAATAATCAGTTTAATGGATAGGTAATTTGAAATTTATAGTTTGAAAATAAAGTAGTATGTTATAGAATTTATTATACCATAGAAAGAGTTCTATCTAGCAATTTAAATAGAAACCTATATTAATATCTTCCCCCTTTTGAATAGTCTTGCGCATAAAAACATAATGAAAAGTTTTAAGCTTACTTAATTCTAATAGATGGCAGCACCAAAATATTCCCAGTCCCTCAGCATTATTGCAATTCGAAATACTTACGCACTATAAATTATATATGTGTATTGAAGAATTCTGAATGATAATAAAGTAGGCAAATAGTAATATAACCAAATCATAACAGGATAATAGAAGATTGTTTTGACAATAGCACTATATTCCTTCAGTCTTCAACAAGAGTGATAAGCGCAATTATCTGAATCGAAAAAAAGCTGGCCAAATATGAAAAAAAAAAAAAAAAAAAATTCATTTTTTTTAAACTTAAATTCTTTTTGATGTCTACAGAACAATGTAATAGCAAAGAAAAAGTCGTGCATTAGCTTTTTTCTACTAAAATAACTGGGTGAACTTATGTTTCTTTTCGAAATTATTACAACAAAACTAATTTTTATGATTTTTTTATTACCTTATTAAAATATTGCCCTTTCAAAATATAAATGTCTAATTACAATAAATAAAAATTGTATTTTACTTGCTCATATTGCTCACATTTAATTTTTTAAAAATATGTAATTCAATATTTGATTTTTTTAGAAACATGTTGAATTTGAAAATTTTTGTTGCATATGGGTATGATAGTTAAAATTGCATAGTTCTTGTAGAGAAAAGTTTATATAATTATGTACACAAAAAAAAGAAAAAAATTAGTAGAGCATATTTTGCACCACAAGAAGTTAAAAATCAAAAAGTAAAAATAATTTGCGAGCGTTTATTTTTGTTGATAAACTTTCTTATAATTAACCTAAAGAGGGCACACATTTGTCTGAATCGAAAACGCGAAATGCATGTTGCCAAATGCGAAAGGAAAGTTATTAGAAATGTTCATAGAACAATATAATCAGAATCACCGAAATTTAATGTTTTTTTCTTCTAAAAAAGTAACAGGCTGATTTTAGTTTGTTTTTTTTTAAATTATCGAACATTACAAACATTAACATATTTGGACATTTCAAGAAATTTTTTTTATACCTTGCTAACGCAAATGTACCTTGCTTTAACGAATGTGCAAAAACGTAATTAAAATATTTTAAAAAATTGCTTTTAACTTGCTCATGTAGACTTTTAGAAAACATATATTTCAATTTCTGATTTTTAAGAAACCTCGTTGAATTCGAAAATGCTAATAGTTATAAAATTGCATTGTTCTTGTAAATTAAGGCAAACACAGTGAATATTAGTGAAAAAAAAAGAATTAGAGACGCATTTTAGTGCCAAGAAATATTAAAAATATATTCAGTGTGTTTGACTCGAGTATTTCAATTTTGCAGATAAATCTTGATTCAAAAACAGTGAGGTAAGGGGATAATTGAAGCGATCATAAAGTCCAGTAGCGTACATAGACTTTGGTGCGCTTACCTGCAAGATTTTTAAGTGTGCTATAAAGTCTAAAAATATACGAAAGATAATTGGTTTGCAAAAGCATAAATAAAAGTAAAAATATTTAAAAATAACGGGCTGGCAAAAGCAAAAATAAAATAAAATAAACAGATAAAGAGATAAACAATAAAATATAAGCAGACGATAAAATTAGAAGTCAATTTTTGTTGGTTTTCTTTAGATTAGTTTTTGTTTGGAATTTGAGTTTCCTTATATCCCGTTTTCTTGTTGTCTTATGATCTTTTCACTATCCCATAACGGGTAATTCATATTTGTTACTGTTTGTGTTGTTTGCGAATAAAAGTTTTTTATAAAAAAACTGAACAGTTCTTTAATATAGCTTGATACGCTATAGTGTTCTGTCTTCGACTTACCACAAAAAACTTAAATTACAATATGACACAAAAGAAGAAAAGGTGTTTGGATATTTATAATCATGAATTTCATTTTAATTTAAGAAAGTGAAAATGCTAATGAAATGATGAAAAGGTAGAATTAAGGTGCTAAATTGAAACTCTGACACTTTCCATACATAAATGAGAAAATAACTCACTATCTTATAGTAATTATATTCAAAATTCATTTAAGGGTAATTATTATTTATAAAGTAAACTAAAAAATATTTTGTAAATAAAAAATATCTTGATTTTAACTTATAGGGTTATTTTTTCTGGCTAGTGCGCCCTCATACATCATGCGCCCTCCGCATCGCGGGAGGGAGTTGCGAGGGTGTTATTTACACCCTACCTGAAGTTCAATGAAAGTATTAGTTTTGAAAGTTAATCTGAAAAACGCACGTTTTTTTTAATTTTTATTTATTTATATTATGTTTATTGCACATATCTGTATATGCAACCTTTTTCTGCAAAACAGGAAAAAAGCTTTTAGGTTTGTAAAGGAATAATGTATTTCAAACACTAATCGAATGATTGAATTTAAAACTTATTTGAATGACTAATTTAAAATAGAAAAATTAGAAAGTTAGTTTGTTATCTGCAATCAAAATAAGTCGATTTAATCTATCTAAATAAACGGTTATTAACATGTTATTTGGAAATCTACACAATTTAGACAAATTATTAAAAACTTAAGTTTTTAGAAGTTACAGTCCAAAACAAGAACATCTATGAAAAGTCGTCTAGAAATATGCATAAATATGAATAGCATCATACTTCAAAACTTTTAATAATTTAGAATAATTTTTGTTTTATACAGGCTCTGAAATGTATTTTTTTAAAATCAACGAATTTTTTTTAAAGAATTACTTTAATTTTTTAAATGAAAGCATTTCTATAAAAAAGATGATCAAAAGTTCATAAGTTACAAACAAATTGAAGAAATTTCTTTGATTCCCAAACAATTCGGGTTTACTTAGCCACTGGAGTGAATAAAACTATTTTGTTTGAAAACATTCGGATGCTATTTTGGCCATACTATTTGAGTTTTAACTTTCCTGCCATCAGTTACATGCTTTAGAGAAGCTCTGATTCACATATTTCAATGCTGTGTATTTTTCAAAACTAAATTTATAAACCTCTACTTATATTTAAGATAATTAACGTGTATATTTTCATAACTTCAATCGATTTAGAAGTTTCAATTTTGCCGCCTTGATGAATCAATCATAACTCTATTGATGTTAAGCGGCACAAGATGTTTAGAAATAATTCTAAAATTTTGTACAGATATTCTCGTTAAAAAAAAGAGTAACTTTTAGTCGCTAACGTAAACCGATCAGCAAAATGAGTAATTTTTTTAATATTAGGAATTTTGATCAAATTTTCGCAATATTTGTGCTAATTGAGGCGGGAGTAGATATTAATTCAGAGTTTTAAGAGTTTATATGTTTCTTAATGGTGGTAATTGATAGTAGGAGATTGAGGTCAATTAAAAATTTCAGATCAACCTAAATAAATACAAAAAAAATAAATTATTTCTACATATATGTGTGCATAAATGGGTATTTTATTTGTATTATACGAGGTGACAGTATGGAATGCGTCATTGTGCATAATAAATTGGACTGAATTTAACCCCCAAGTTAACTTTGTCATATACTCCTTAACTCCTCCAATTTTCTATACCCTCAGATCGTTTCGCAAAGGTGCAAATTCGATCCCTAAATATCGCATGATTAATAATGTCATGGACGAACTAATTTTGCATAGAAATGTTGCCTTTTGCGTTTCAAATCACCAAAGTACTGTAAGCAATCTTATTATATTCCAATTTTTTTAGTAAATACATACGATCAAGATTAAGAGTTTAAAAAAACCGTGACTTTATTTTTTGATAGTATGATTAAAGCTTACAGCTGGGGAGGGATGTAAACAAATAATAAAACTTACAAAACTGCATTTTTATTTTAACACATTCCTCTAGCAGTTAAACTAACAGCATTCATCGATGACGTCAAAGGAGGAGGGAGAGAAAGGGATAGAAACTGTATAAAAATATAATATCGATACAACATATATCATACCGTGTATTTGTTATGTTTATCAGAATAGACATTCTTAACACTGTTTGTTTGTACAATGCAGGTGCCTACTGCAGATCAAGATGCCTCAGTTGGAAGACAACGGCTTGTACAGCTGTATAGCGACAAACAACGTAGGGAGGGCATCTACGCAGATGAAAGTGTCCTCGCCCTGTAAGTTGCTGAAAATGAATTTCCTCATCACTAATATTATTTTGAGTTTTAAAATGTGTGATAAAATCGTTCTTTTTAACAGGTATGTACAATATTTTTTTTTGCTACTGAGTTGCTATAATTTTTAGAGATATGATTGTTTAGATCTATTATAGAGTTATTTAATTTATTTTTTTGTAAAATATTACGATTATTTATGTGTTAACTTTTATTTTATTTGTTTGATCTCCTTTATATTAAATTCATATAAAAAAATATGCAGTTAAAAAAATTAGAATCAAATTATAGTATTGTGCAGATTTTCTACAAATTTTGTTGAAATGTAGTATTTTGAAAATTTGATATTAGTTTGAAACATGATATATCGAACAAATTTGTTGTGATCTTATTTGAATTATGGAGTTTATAATTCTTAGACATGATTCACTAAGAAAAAAGAAGCATGGTCAAAATTACTAGAATATGGTAAAATGTACCACGTTCCTGACACTTTGGGAAAATCAAAAAGCTCGGTAATTTTTACCTTTAGAGTATTGGTAATGATATTAGTAAAAACTAACAATAAAATATGGTTATGTAACATGTGATACAATTTTGTAAGGGTGATGAAAATTGGTAATTTTAGCATGATACCTTAGAGCATGGCGTCATTCATTCAGATAAATTTACTTCTCAGTCTTGTATTTTTTACTAAATGTCTGGTAATAAGAACAATAATTGTGAAAATAAACCATAATTCCCGGTAAACCATTACCAGATGAATGGAAAAATTACCAAATGAATGGCTTAAATTTCGTATATTTTGGTTTTTATTACCAGAATTAATAAAAAAAATTTTTAGTACCAGAAGTGTCATTACCCTACTGTACGGCAATTTTACCACAGTTTTTCTCCCCTTGTTACACGAATGAGTTCAATTTGTGTAGGAACATGGTTCAGCTGAACACTTTATTAAGGATTCAGAGAATTTGCACTATGTTATGAAGATATGTTATTAAGTTCAATTAACAATAGTTCAATAATTGTGGTTCAACCTTGAACTAATTTTTTTGTTTGACTAAAGCTTGTCGTTTAGATTTTCTAACAGTTCTTACAAACGCTTAATAAGGTTCGAAAAAATGTAGGTATTAAGTCGCCAGATTGAAAAAAGTAAAGTAGAACTAAAACAAAATTGATTCGATGATACAGCTGATTGATAATATTATTATTAGTAGTTTATTAACTATGAATAATTTATAAGATTTCAATTAATTTGATAACATAGTGTTTGTAAACGTAATAATCAAGACTAACAGCAACAAATTTTAAGTAATAATAAAGACAAATAATATTTAGTAGCAGAAAATTTCAGAAAAGACAATGTTTAAAATTTTACAGGACTGAAATACTATGCTACAATATTAACAAATGTTTATTTATTTTTATTAAAGTTATGCTAATAATCTTTAATTTCGCTTAAACATTTTTTTGCTTTTAGCATTAAGGTAAAGTCCTAATTTTAAAACTGTTTTTTTAAAAAAAAAAAAGTTTTACGCTTTAAAACTGAAAGCTAAATTTTCAATTTTCAGATGTTAATTTTGTGTCAAATATTTAAAAAAATGCAAATCTCAAATTTTGTTTATATTTTTTAGTATTTGAGATATATGTTTCTCATTGAAAAAAGTTTTATAATTTTATTATATTTTTTTATAATATCATTTTACCATAATTAGTAAATGTAATTTATTGGAAAAAAATCTTTCCTTTTAACCATCAGGTTAGTGATTGCACGTGAGACCAACAGATAAAATTTATAATACCTTAAATCAGGGTAATAAAAAAAGTAATAAATCTTGGAAATGTACCTGTCTCTGACTCAGAAGGCGAAATTCTACGTGGAAATGAACAGCGAACACGTAATACGCCACCTTTAGAAAAAAAAGCATGATTTTTAAATTCTATTCCATTTTGACAAACCTTCTTCTAATGAAAATAATAGTTAAAATACTCGTATATCAAGAATTATAGTTTTTACTGATGATGTAAATGACTTACTTTACTGACTTTATGTCGAATTTTGTTTTGCCCATGTGAGATATTTAATTAGACAGTATAACATTAAAAATATTTTATTCATTAATATCACACAATATCTATCGATAGATATTGGGACATCGATGCAAATTGGTTGAAGTGGAATGATTGTATTACATGCTTTGGATGGTACGGACTGGGATTGGTCCAAGTTCATGGTAAGCTCATTACCAAAACGTATCACGCTGTTTTGAATGACAATGTGCTTTCTACGTTGTGCCAATTTTACGAATTGGAAACATGTTACTTCCAGCATTGTAGAGTTAGCAATCATCTGCCGAATTTCGATACAAATTTGTTAGTGTGGCAACAATGGTGAAAACCGAATGAATTGACCTGTTCAGAACCCATACATGAGCCCCATTGAGACCATCTGGGACGAGTTAGATAAGTAAACTAATTGGTACAAGAACCATAAATTATATTACCATAATTATTTATCAACATTTATCATTAAATATTTAAACACCCATGATTCGTATTCAACAGTTTGTAGTGCAGCTATGAGAGGCAATTATGATTTCATTCCCCTGTAGTAGGTTTTCTAAGACTAATGACGGCTAATTTGATAAGACGGCAATTTAAAATTTTTAAAGGTAATTTGTCCTTTACCAAATTTAAACTGCTGTTTGTCTGCTTCCTTCGGCGATCTAATTAGCTCAAGAGTTCCTTGATTAAGTTCAATCTGATTTTTGGACAAGCCAATCTATTCGACTTCACAATATGACTGTTAGCGTTGTCGTCATGTAAAAAATATGGGTATAACACGTGAAATCGTGCTGTATTTGTCATCATTGAGCTTATCATTATTTGGCAAACCCAGGAAAATAGCTTCAGACCATAATTCATATTCGCCGTGAGGTATCGGTTATTGGTAGTTAGTGTATAAGGGAATTTTTTGTATTTATAATCTCACCGACTAGGCTTATCTCATTTTTAATTACCGTGAATTTTTCTGCTCTAGTTTCTTCTTCAAGACGGATGAATGGTGCCTCTCTAAGACTTAATTCTACTAAAATAAACGGAATTCAAGCAAGAATACTAGAGTTTTCTACTCTTGAACGAGCTGGAGAAAGTTTCGTTGCCCAAAGTGAAACTGGTCGAATCATGTTTCGAAAGCGTTCACAAAGTGGAGGGGCGAAAACTCGCCAGGACAATCTTAGTTTACCCTCTAAACCCAAACAACCAACTTTTACAAGCCATATAATTAAGAACTCGAACGATAAAGTTTCAAACCCGCCAACCACGAACGGAAATGTTGAGAATTCAATAAACTTAGAAAAGAAACGTCTTTGTAAGTCTATGGAGGATTGTAGAAAGGTTAAAAAGAGCTTCTTTAATCGAGTTAAAATCCCTGATATTTTCAATTCTTCACAAAATTATGAAAACAAAAGTTCCAGCTTACGTTCACATGTATTACAGCCATCCCAAAAAGTGAATGGTGTTTTTAAAAGTCATAGAACAAATTGTACTGACGCATCTCAAAAATATTTATTTACAAGTAGTGTAAATTTGTCAATAAATATTGAAAATCAAGATTTGCAAAAGGATAATGACGGAAATCATGAGCGTACTTCAAAAAATGATAGGCAAGAAGACTTAGCTCAGAACATTGCTAGAACTATAAAAGATGGCTCAAATGAAATTATTAGTGATTCGGACACGTGTTCGAACAACTCTTGTCAAAATAGTATTGAAAATAAAGAATATAGAAATGACACGGGAACGTATAATAATAGTTCTTCTAAATTGGAATCAGAATTCAATCAAAGTCCCCGTAGTCTGAAATCTAAAACAATTAATAACGAACTCTTAAACTGCGTTAATGCAACAACAAATTCTGACTGCATTGAAACACCGACACCCCTAACAACTCGAGAAAGAATAGCAGCTTATTTAAAGAAATTCGAAACTTCGAATTCCTCAAAATCGAAAGACTTAACTTCGGATAAAATAAATAAAAGTGCCAAAAGTAAAGAATATGGACGTAGCAGCTTAAAAACACCAGCGCCAACAGAAAACGATTCTAAATTTTTCAGTTTTTCAAAATTCAAAAGAAGAAAAAGCAGTTCTGATGCCAACAAAAAGAACAGTATTACCGAAATACCTAATACGATATCAGAAATGGAAGACCACCCGCAAGCAACTACGTGTTTAGAGAATTATGAAAAAGAGCCGTCCATAAAACTTCCATTTCAGACAAAAGATACGATATTTATAGATCATAATTCTTCTGTACCTGGTCATCCGGAAGACAAAAGACTTGTTAAAGGCGATGTAAGTGAATGCGTGACAGAGGGCAATGCGGAATCTGAACCAGGGAATGTATGTTTGGAGGAAATCGATCTGAGCAGTTTGACATTCGATCGTATCGATGTCAGTCTCCTAGAAGAACTTGATCCTTTTCAAACGGTAGCTCAAGAACGGATGCATTTGACAGCAGATAATGGTAAGATTAATAATTTGTATTAATAACAATATATTTTGCTTTGTTACTTGAGTTTCTTGTTTATTTTAAACAAGTGATCATATTGCGGTTATTTATTAGTAATGTTTTGATAGTTTTCCCAAATTTATTTTCAGTTAGTTAGTAAGACTTTCAAGGAAGAAAAAATCGTTGAATATTTTAGAGCTGTCCTAAACAGTTCATTGGTATATTTTCTAAAATTTTAAGAATCCAACAATTTCAGCGGTGGAAAAAATATGCATATTTTGAGAATTTTTTTTATCCTGAGAGAATAAAAAAAAAAAATCACGCATTTTAGTAAAAGGCGCTTAATAGTTAACTGCAAGAATCATTATTCTCAAAGTCGAAAAAAAATGATGACTTAATACCTTTTCTTCAATTAAGCCGTTTTTTAGAGGGTGTACTGCTGGAAAAGCAGGATCTACAGCTTGTAAGAAATAATGAAATACAGAATTTCTTCTGCTTACATTTTACGATTAACGATTTACAAAAAAATAAATAAATAAATAAATAAATAAAAAAAAATCCAGGATGAAATTTTAAAGTTTTTCAGAAAGAAAACCTCTGAAAATTATTAACTATGCAATAAAATAACAATACGCAATTGTTGATTAAACATTGACGACCCGATTAATGTAGGGTTAATGCATTTTTTAGCTACCCGATTAATGCATGGTCTAAAAATGTGGCATTTACTGTTGATTCAACTATGATGGCAAATATATGCATGCCATCCCAGTAGTTCGGCCGCAGGAAATTTTAGAACGCTAGATGGAACATTGTGTTATTGTTGGGTGAATTATTTCACGAATAGGGAGCAAAAAGGCAAGAAAAGTACTTACTATGGCTTATTTCAAAAATGAATTGTGAACAAACTGCATATTTTGAGCATCTTCAGCTACTTAATAATGATATTGTAACAAATCACGTGAGATAAATGTTCCGTATTTCTACCATCCGCAAAAAGAAATACAAGTTTTCTTTCTAGCAATAGTGCCTAAAATAATGATGATTTTGAAAAACTTCCTATACCATTTATAGAAATTTTTTCACATCATTTTGCTTAAACTATATTCAAAATGAAAAATATTAATATCACAATAATAATAATAATAATAATATTAAATCTGCTTTTAAAAATGGTTGATAATTTACTCAATTTAACAAGGAAAAAATTTGCTTTCTCCAATAAATTATACAACTTAAATTATGTAATGAAATTATTATTTTATTGAGAATCGAAACAGCATTTTAAAATTCCCCGAAACAAGTGAAAATAATTTTAATTTAATTGTGTAGTTCTTACATTACTTTAAGTGTGTTTCTTCAATTTATCATTCGACCCGTAATATACAGACCAAAGTAAAATTAATACAGAATATAATTAAATTTCATTTAACTTATTTTTTAATATGCAGAAATTTCTTGGTAATTTAAAATGTAATAAAAATTATGCCTGAAATTCAGACATTTTTATTATCTTATTATATATATATATATATATATATATATCATAATAAATAAAAACGAAAACACACGAAGAAAATTAAGAAAAACAATAAGTTTTGATTATTGCGCATAAGCTGCAAGTAAATAGAAATCATAAAATAAGTTTAAAATGTAGTGAAAACAAGGGAAAAACAGAACAATGAAAAAAGGAAAAAGAAATAACAATAATAAAATAAAAATAACAAAAAAACCGACAAAAAATTTCAAAAAATCCGGAAAATAAAAGATATAATCTTTTCATCAGCTCACACGATTATATCAGCAAGAATGAGTGCTTTCTAATATTACATCAATATAGCCAAAGCAAAATATAATCAATACAATAGTGTGAGAAGCACTATAAAAATTACAAAAAATAAAATAGAACACAATAAGTAAATATATATATATATATATATATATTATATAGCNCACACACACATATATCACACACGTTTATCACACACATATATATATATATATATATATATATATATATAATTCTTACTAGATCAACAAATTAATATTTAACTAATAAAACGAAACTAATCATATAGATAATGTTTTTATCATTGCTCTTATTTTCTTCCGTGTATGTTTTTTAAGTATGGACCACGCACTTGAGTACTAACTAAGATTTTTTTTAAATAAATATTTTATACGAAAATATAGTACATAAATAAATAAATAAAAAAATTATAAATTCGTTTACTTGTTCCTGCAAACTTTATATTTAACTTTTACTGCGTTCGCAGCTCTTTGTAAATAATAAATAGTGGTTACTAGCGTATATTTATGTTAAAAGAATTCAAAATATCTAGTTTAAAAATTTAAGGATTGTATATATAACTTAAATTTATACCAAGCCCTGGTATTTGAAAATATATCAATTTACCGAAAAAACAGATTAATAAGGCATCTTTTCCATCATTTATTTATTTGTTTTTTAACTTAACTCTGCGGGCTCTGCTTTTGCATTTAAAAGCATCTGCTGATAAACCACTTTCTGCCCGCAATATCCTTAACTAAATAAGTTTTTCTCAGAGTTTCAAACGATATTTTCAATAAAACGATGCGATATAATTATCAAAAAAAGATAAATATCGTTTGAAAATTATATTAGCCATACATAACTGTGAAATTCCTTAAAGTTGTTCCAAAAGAGTTTTCTTTAATGAATTAATTGAACGCCGAGCGATATCTTTTAGCAAATATGTAGCATTGGTGATAATGTTTGCGAACAGCTGTTGAAATGTGAGACTAGGAATTTTTTTAATCTAATGAAAATAAAAAAAGTAAAAGAGAAAAAAAACTTAAACAAATGCTTCTTTCATTACAGAGGACAAGTCTAAAGAGACTCTATCTGATGCATCGGAAATCTCAATCGAAAAGGATGACATAAAGATTGAAGTACCCTCTATTAAAATAGAAGTGGTAAGTCTTTGTTATTTTAATTATATTTTAATAGCTTTGATAAATAATCAAATAAGTGATCTAAACTTTACTTAATTTGTATTTTTCATGAAGAATTTTTTACGTTGGTACAGTTAGCTTAAAAGTAAAAAGAAATTTCTATATGTTAATTTTTTATTTAATTCTGGACTGTACTAAATTTGTTACCAATATTAATAACTTCGTAGAAAAAAACATAACTTCTTCAAAACATAATTTCTTATTTAAAATCATTAATTAAATGCAATTTTTTCACTTTTTCTTCATTATTTGCAGGTAATGAAACATAAATTGTAATATATATACAATATTATAACAATATTATTTTATTTGTGATTTTGGTCTAATATAAAGACATCATATATAATTATAACAATTAAAAATATTATTTTCTTTTCCTTTGAGCTTAGTGCAAACTGTCATATCTGTAAATATTATTCTTTTTAATTGTTTTATAAAATTGTATGACTAACATTTTTGGAGTTCAAGGAAATTTTATTTGAATGTAAGTTCTGAATATTTTTGATAGAGATAATATATAATTTATAATACAAAAATTCATGTGTAACAGTTTTATAATGTTAAATTAATTTTGTTATTTAAGTTGGTTTGTTATGGGCAGTTACTTCTAAACAAACAAAAGTGATTGCTTATAGTTGTTATATAAGTTCAATTCTGTTTTGTCTAATGAAACTAAAATATATAAGTTATTTGAATAATTCATTTGGTAGTTTTCTTTTCATATGGCAACGGTTTACCGGAAATTCTGTTTTTCAAATGTATAGTTCTTATTACCTCATGTTTAGAAAAAAAATACGAAACAGAAAAGTAAATTTAATTGTATAAATGGCTTTAATACCATGGTCTAAGGTATTATGATAAAATTACCAAATTCTACCACTTTTACCAAATTTTGTTGCGGATTATAAAACCATATTTTATAGTTAATTTTACAAAATGTTGTTAGTTTTACCGAAAGCATTACCAAAGTGCTTCGGTTAAAATTCCCGCACTTTTTGGTGTTTCCATAGAGTCAAACACGGTAAATGTTACCATATTCTGACAGGTTTGACCATACCTTTTTTTCTCTGCTCATGAAGATACATTTTGAATTAATATTTTTATGATTGAATGTAGAGACTTATATTTTACAGAAATGAAATTGCCCTTTAGATCAGAAGTTACCTTTCCATTATACAAAATATCAAATTTTAATTCTGAATTGAGCATTGCATTGTAAATAACCGTAACAGTGATTATATTTTTCTTTCTGTTACATAGTTGTTTGCTTTTTCTTTCAACATTTTATTTGAAACATAGGGAAAAAGATAAAATATTTCAAACATTACACATGTTTTTTTTTTGTAAAAGATTAAATTTTTTCCAGAATATTTTTAAATTCATTGCTAAATTTCAGTTTTCCATTATTTTTGTAAAGACTACGATAAAAACTTTCATTATGGTGACTTATTTTAAAATGTTGCCAGTATTAGTTTTTGACATTGTCAAAAATTTAATCTTAATGATAATAGAAATTGTTGTGACATTTGTTACTAAAGTTTATATTTATGTTAGAAATAAAAGAAAATAACACGTGAAGTAACTTTTCAAAACACCTGAAAACTTATGTTTTAGGCTCTAAACTTATTAAAAAAACATTAAAGTGAATAGGTTTTCGAATATTCAACACTTACACTAGAGCTTAATACAATAGATACAACATATGATAACTTAATACAATAGATATAAAATACCTTAATACAATGGATATACAATAACTTAATAATAAAGAAAATGAAGAAATAGATTTTGAATAACTTGAGGTTTAAGAAATTATGAATAATTTTTTTAAACGAAAATTTTTTTTTCTTTGAGATCTGTTAATATTTATCTAGTTATAGAGAAACTAACTAAACTATTTTCTCATGTGATCATTCTGTGCGAGAAAGTTAGCTATGTACAAGCTCAAATACGTAGAGTTAGATTATGACATTAGGGATAACTTCCATGTTACTTACAGTAAATGTGATGGCAGATTCCTTTTATAAAGTTTTAAAAAAACAAAATGAAATAAAATGGTTGACTAATATTTTCTCAAAAATATTACTGTTACATATTACTGCTGCATTTACACCAATTAAACATATTTAGATTTAAATGACTTTCCAAATTTTACAGATTGCATTAAGTACAAGTTTACAGCAAAGAATTTACACTGTATAATAACTTGATTTTAAAGATATACTTGAGTAGCCCTTAAAACCGTTTTCATTAAAACACACACTTTTGACCTATAATTCTTTTTTTAATCCCTTTCAATTTATAGTCCTGTTGTGGTAATTTGAAGTGGCCTTATAAAGTAAATAATTCTACCCAGCAGGGAGTACGTGGATGGTTTTCTTTTTATTAGAGGAGATCTTGAATTAAGCGGAACGGCACCGCGCGGGGAACAGAATTGCGTTTTTCTTGGCGGCAATTTATTTTGATTGTTGCCGCTTGCAGGCAATGACTCACAAGTGAGTCGCAGCAGTATTGAGATGTTTATTTGATGAGCATAAAAACAGATATTTTTTTATCACTGATTGATTTTATTTTCGATTAGAGTGCTGAGGACAATGAAGAAGACAATGAGATGCGGGAAGATAACGAGGAAATCGTAAATTCCAATCAGGATCTTTCAAAATACTCCAAGGGAAGAATAACTTCTGAGGCTGCATTGGTCAACAAACTGTCAAGGGGAATTTGGTAATTATTGGAATTTTTTTTTATTAGTTACTTAACTAACCATAATATATTTGCAACTTATATAATATATATAGATTATGCAACTTACTATTTTAATGCAGCAGACTTTATTTTTTTTTGGTCTTCACTTGTTTAGAAACATTATATAATAGTTGTAAAGGTTATAAATAGAATAATAAAGCACACTAATTTAATTTCCCTGTAAAACTTCATAAAACTAGTAACTTTTAGGTACCCGACTACCTTTCTTAAGTCACTTTTGACTAAAATTTTTTTTTTCTGTTTTTGACATAAAATAATGTTGAAAACATTTCTTACAACTGTTTGAGAATCATTTGCTTTTACACAAATCGAAAAGAAGTTACACTATTTTAAAAACATCATTCATTTTGGTTGTTACATAAATAACTGTGCCATTTTTGTCCTTTTTCCAAAATTAATTTTGCACTTATTTTCCTCCATTTTAGAGACAATATCTCGAAATATTTTAGTTCGATTTGCTTAAAATTTTTCATGAATGCTTTTTACATATATGTCTAAGGAATGGATTACGCACTAGTGTATTAAACTATTATTTTATATTTTACAGCTAAAATTCAAATAGCTAATTGTAATTTTCGGCCTTTTCTTGCAAAGTAAGTTTCGATGTTTGCTGTAAAGTATCTAAGCATTACTATTATGTCTAATACGCTGTCTATTCCCTAAGTTGAGTTTTTATGAGTATTATAAAATATATATAAATAATGAAAATAATAAATTTAATCAAAGCCATGTAATTTTGAAAAGAGGTCAGCTTTCAGTCCTTTTTTATCAGTTTTCCTCTCATATTTTCTAAAAATAATTTTTTTCTTTATATTTTTTGTATTCATACCATGTTTCAGTGTATATTATACACATAAATCCAAATAAAAACATTTTTAAATAAAAAATCTCAAAATTTTGAATCTTAAAGTATTCGGGTACCTTAAGCAGTAATTATATTGTTATGATTTTTACGTAATTAAAAACATGTTCACGTTCAGCTGTGTAAAAGCAGTCATGATTTCATGCAATTGATAAAAAGTCATCCTACTTCTTTTTTTTCATTTCACGAAACAGGACCAACCCAGCGATAGTGTTGAATTACACTTTATTAGTCGATGTCTACAAATACAGAATAATTATTACAAAAAATACAAAACGCAAAATATTTATATGTTTGAAGATTGACAATTAGATTTCATTATGATTTATTAGTGTTAAAATATTTAATTTAGTTGGCGTATATTCCTAATTAGAATGGGTTTGGTTTTTTAACTCGGTTGTTATCATATAGACAACGTACACAGTTATAGAAACGTTTCTTTTGCCCCGATTACTAGATTTAATTCCGATTTCAATTTGATAAAGGTCTCAAAATAATGTTCAATGATGATTTAAATTTTGATCTAAATGATTTTAATTGAATTTTTGAGTGTCATTTAAAATATTAGCTTTTTTAAAAAAAATGAACATCGTGTAAAAATAAATAATTAGGTGCAAAAATTTTGAATATGACAGCTTTGCAAGGAAATTAATAGTTTCCTATTATTATTGTTTTAATACAATACAACGAACAGGAACATCATGATACATTTAAGATTTAGTTATTTACTCTGATAAAAAAATATTTATTTTCTTTGAGCCTTAATAATCATACAAATATTTTTACACTCCTCATTAGATTAAGTGAATAGCAAGTTTTACCTTTGTTGAACAGAAATATGGTTCCTTTTCCTGTACTTAGGCATGTTTGAACGAAATTTAAGTTCAAAGTACTTATATTACGATACAATAACGATGATAGAATGCAATGTTTATTTTAACAGTCTACGATCTCCCAATTCTCAAAAAAAAAAAAAAAAAATCTAATATGCACAAACAAAATTATTATTTAGAACTAAAAAAATATGTTTATGCCAGTGGCGGATCCAGCTGGGGGTTATAGGAGTCATGACCCCAACCCCCCAAAATTGAGAAAAAAAGTTTTTTTAATAGTTTACAAAAGAAATAAAATATTTTAGAAATTATTTAAGGGGGCATATACACTAGGTAGGTCGGAAAAATTGATTTTTTCCCCATCTAATTATGTTCTTCACTGTTTCAAGAATCATAATCCAAAAGATTAAAACGAAATTCGATTTTGAATACTTGACATATTTATGTATTGTTCTATTGTTCATTATGAAAAAAATAAATGAGAAAAATGTAATTAAAAGCCCCAGTTTTTTTTAATCAAAAAAAATATTAAAAAAATTTTTTTTATAAAAATTTTTTTGTTGGGGGGGGATCTTAGTCTATGACACCCCCCCCACGAAAAATTTCTGGATTGATCCCTGGTTTATGCACAAATTTTTAAATATTTTTCATAGTTGCCTTTCCCTTAGAAAATTTCTGCCGGCGCTACTGACAATCTTTTTGCTAAATAGTTAATCTAAATGCTCAATAAAAGTGTTTGTAGAAAATTAGAGCATTAATTCAAACTATTTTGCATTTATATTGTAATCTTTCTTTGTCCATAGGCATACCAGTCCTTCGATAGAAGAGGAATGTGAGGCGGTGTTTGATAAATGTGAGGAGATTCATCCACCTGAAATCCTGGAGACAGATCAACAGGCTGAATTATCGCTCGAAGCAAGTCCAGCGAGAATTGTGAAAGGACCCCAGAGTGTGACCGTCTTGAGGGGGGAGTCCGTTACTTTGGCGATCAGTTTCACAGGATCTCCCTCCCCACAAGTTATCTGGATGAAAGGGGTAAGTAGCTTCTCTATTAATTAATATTGTAATATTTAATAGCATTTTATTGTGTAGCCTAATGGAGGATTAATTAATTTTATATTCTTCCATATTTTTTTTTTTTTTGATGTCCAATATTTAGCAACATGTAATATTCAGTGGACAGTAAATAATATAAAACAGCTAAAACAGCAATTACATGTACAGATAGTACAGTACTTGATATTGTATTATTCAAAATTAATATCTATCGTTGTGAATCCTGCGATTAGTAATATTCTCAAAAACATATTTAATCGCATTGTCAGTTTAAAAATTATTCGTGGATTTAATTAATTCGTGGATTTTATTATCTCCTGAAAACTAAATGATTTATAAGCCCGATTTAATCTACGTTAATTTATTTTACAAATTAATTAAAGTATTGATTTGATAAAAGAGTATTGTTAAAAAAAATAAATAACTGTTTAAAGATTATTTTTTTCTGATTCCGTGCTGAAGTACTCTTAACAAAATAGAACAGAACGGGACAAATGAACAAAACATGTTCTAAAAAGAAAAGGAAAAAAATTCTCAGTAGATGTAATAAATAAACGCGTGAAATGTGCGACGTTAGCCATCCGTAGTACTTCAGAAACATTTGGCCGAAAAATAAAAATGAACACAAAAAAAAAGAAAGAATAAAAGTGAAACGCTTTTAACGACCTCTGACGGCTTTTTAGTGAAGTGTTATCAGCACGTCTTATTTATTGATACGAGTTGCAACCTCTTCTTTTTCTCCGTAGAAGGGATGTTAACGGGTTTTTTTCTAATCTCTATTTTAAGAGCTCTTCATATCTTGGATTTTCAAAAAAGCACCAAAATACATCACAGACATAGAAAAGAGGAGGATTGCAGGCATGCACAATTGAATGGCAGTCAAATTTATAAAATTTATATGAATTTATAAAAGAATTGACATTTTTATGAAATACATCATAATATTATGATGTGAGTCTCTTTTAACCGATAATTATAAATAACCGATAAAATAAAAAGCAATTTTATTGAAAAAAAATTGTCAAAAGGAGAAGCAAAAAAATTGTAAATCAACCAAAAAATAGAATACATTTAAATCTACATAATTTCCCTAGCAACAAAATAACTTGGGCCCTCATTGGACCAATATTCACGAATCTTGGATCAATAGGGTTCAAAGGGCTGTTATATCTTCGATATTGGCCATACATAGAATTGTCCAATTCACCCGATATTTTACAGCTACTTCATAACCACTATTGGCCCTATATAGAATTGTCAGATTCACCCGATATTTTATATTCAGCTAATACAGACCCCATATTGGTCCTATATAGGACCAATATTGAAATATCCAGATATCCCAATATTGGTCCATCTGTGCATGTTCAGATAGGACCCATATAAAGTCCAACTGGAGCCAAGCTAAAATTGTTGCTAGAATTGAAATGTTCGCATCTTGAAAATAGGTGATGCAAACCAATAAATGAAAAAATGTTTATAATTGTGATGAAAAGAAAAAAAGTACAAAAATTGATTTCAAGATAAATTAGCAAGATTCACTTTAATAATATTAAAAAGAAAACGCGAAGAAACGCTAATAAAAAAAGCACAGTTGTTTTCTAAAACAAAAAGTCTTAATATAGATGATGTAACATGTTATAAATTAAAAATCTGAAAACAGCTGACGCGATTCATCAATTTCATCTGTCCCGCAGTGGACTGATCGTTAAGACACGGTTCCCAGTAGATCACCGAAGTCAAGCATCACTGGCTGCGGTCAGTGTGCGGGTGGGTGACCCACTTGGATCAGTCTGCGTAGGGACCGAGGGTGTGCGGTATTGGTCCTCGTTAAACTGTGCTACCGTAAAGTGCTCGACTTCGCGTGCAGGTCGTTGGGCTACCGAAGCAGGGGTGCCATCCCCTCTGCAGAGGATCAAAATTCTGATGGCATGTCTTCGGATCATCCTCAGGGATGTTTCCCAGACCGTCGCCAATAGCCCATTGTGCAGCTCTAGTGTGACGTAAATGAACAACAACAACAATTTCATCTGTATCCTTCAATACCACGGATGTAGTTTCTTTTACACATACGATTTTTTTTTCGTTCTGTTTTCAATGAAGGCTTGAGATAGGGTTTAACTTCAATTAACCAATATTATGCATGCAATAGAAAACATTATAAGCACAAAGAAAACGATATCAGTTTTAGAAATTTTGCGAAAAATTGAAGAGAATCGCATAAAAATAAAAAGTTATCGAGTATGCCAGTTAGAAAAACGCTCTTATAAGAAAACGCTATATAAAATTTGCTAAAGCTATTTTCCTCCCTAGCTCACACTATTAGAATTTTCATTCTAAAATTAGGCTAAAATAACCGGCAGCAGTTTGTCTACCTAATTAATCGTAAGGTTTACGGTAAAGAATAAGTTTTACGGTTTCGATACCGTTTACAACTAGTATGATTAAAAAAACCATGAATTCAAAACTATACCGTACTTTAACCATTTTCAACTAGCATGGTTTTAAAACCGTAAAAATTTCATTCTAAAATTACGCTAAAATAACCGGCAGCGGTTTGTCTATCCAATTAATCGTAAGGTTTAGGTTAAGAATAAGTTTTACGGTTTCGATACCGTTTACAACTAGTATGATTAAAAAAAAACATGAATTCAAAACTATACGGTACTTTAACCATTTTCAACTAACATGGTTTCAAAACCGTAAGAATTAAATTAGTTTATTTAGAGAAATTAGTAAATCGAGTTGCTTAACATATCGTAAGAGATGGGAAATGCTAGACTTTTTTGTGTTAAGCAGTTATATAGTGCTACCATGTATGCGTGAGTATTGTATTCTAACAGTCCAGAGTCTCAAATGGGAGAGTGATGAACACTTGAAGCTCTTCACATGTTAAAGGGAATTGGGGATATAGTGTAATGTCAATGCTAGGACTCGAACCCCCGCTCGTTCAGTCATGATGACAGGTAAGCTATCTCGGCTATAATATGTACCCAGCTGTAAGGAACTAAGTGGCTTCATTAGGCGGGTCTTATCGGTGCGGTAAAATTCTGGTTAATCCGTATTAAGCGAATGCAGTTAATAAGCTTTTCTTCTTACAGTTAACAGTTTGAACACCATCTTATTTATGGTTATTTGACTGTTTTGTTTGAATATGGTAAAATAACAGTTTAATAAATTATTGTGTAACTATTTTTAGCTATAAAACAATATAACAGTGTATATCAAGGCAAAATGTAAAAAAAAAATTAATGCGAATTTCACATTTAGAACACTATTTTAATCCGTGTTTACCATCAAATTATGTGTGGAAAAAAAAGAAAAATTATTTTGGAAATTTTACCGTGTTGTTACTTTTAGGCGAAAGCGAACTGAATTAACTTAATTTTATTTAAATTTTTTGCAGTTAATTCCATAGTATATAACGGTTGTTTTAATGAAATGTCTTTCAGAATCGAGGAAATACTTTCTGCTGATTCCGGATTTCATCAGCGTGCGACGAATAGTGCATGGATCTTAAAAAAATTATTACAAAGGAAATAGCACAAAAAAGTCACAATTCTTGTTCTTGCATGGCCATCATTCCAATGTGCGTTACATGTTGACAGCAAAAGTCCTTTTATAGATTAAGATTTCAATTAAAAACATTATAGATTCAACAGGTCAAACACGAAAAATTTTCGAAAGCTGAAGATGACTTGTTGATTCGCATACCATTTCGAATCTACACATGAAATATTTCCAGTACTCCTCATTGATGTCGCAAAAAATTTACGGTGATATGCACACTATACTTTAAGAGTTTTATCAATATCATTAATTTTTTTTGTCCATATGCACAAATGCGAAATAGTTTCTATCGAAACACTTATCAGGAAGACGAATTTGTCCATATCATTATTGAGAATTCATCTCGTTTTCTGAGTCAGGTTCAAAATTACAAACTTTCGTAGTTGAACACAAGCATGAACCCATGGCTGTAGTCTGTTTTTAGGGCTTTATCTTTCAATGGCTATTTTGAAACTCGTCTTAGTTCTAAAGCTATTTAGATGACTTGAAAAGTGCCTTAACTTATACATGCCAGCTAGCTGGTTGTTTTTTCAACCACTAGCATCGAACAGCCAACTTCTAACTTTTAGTAGTATGTTCGAATCTTCAGTTAACTGGACGATCTAGTTTAACCCCTAACAGACCAATGCCGCAATACAAGCTGCATGGCACTTTTGCATACTGCTTCAAAAGTTGCGTATATAGCAAACGAAAATCAATAATTTATAGTTGTTTCATTATTGCCGTATTTAAAATTAGTTTAATTATAATTAATTATTAATTTATAATTAATTATTAATTTATAATTAATACTATAATTAATTATTCTAATTATGTTTGGGTTGGTGAAATATTTTTAGACTGCTAAGGGTTAATATTAAAAGCTGCAGATAAACAATAATTATTCAATGCATGAAATTAAATTTATAAAACAAACGAGTAAAAAAAATATTAAAACGTGATAAAAGTTTTAGTTTTGGTTACAAAAAAGTGCTAAAATATGATATCTTACACGTTTTTGTACACTAAATAAATACAAGTTTGTTTTTCGAAATATAACTAAATAAGTATAATAATAACAAAATTAATTTTTATTAATTAGGGTGAAACTGGAACTTACATTACTGAATAAAAATGTGAAAAATGAAAGTCTAGCCCTTTCTCATGTATCTTATAATGTGGTTCTTTTCAGAATGTCTAACTGGACTGAAAACACTCAGGGGAAAGATGTCTTTATTTTGATATTTATACAGCTGTGTTTCGGAAAGAGGGAAAATTAGGGATATTTTACGAAATTTTAAAGTTTTTCCACGAAAAACCGAGAAAATAATACGTGTGTGCAATAAAGTTAATGAGATGGTATTGCAAGGAAGCGCAATTAAAGCTATTGAAATAAAAGCTAGGAATTTTTTGAAGAATTTTCTGTTTTTAAAAAACGAAGTTTTTTTTAAACTTTTGATCCGAATTATCACTAGTTATTTATTATGAAATTTATTCCTAATTACTTTGATCCAATTTATTCTTATATTAAAGGATCTTTCGGAAGGTTTTTTTTTTAATTTTTTTTAAAAAAACAAATATGAAACATTAGGCATTTATTAGCCTGTTAAAAAAATAAAATTGTGGTTATTGATAAAAGCATTCTGCGTTTCAGATATTATTTGAAACTGTATCAGTCAAAAAAAGAATACTATAAAAATCTTCAAAATATTTTAATTTAAAGCTTTAGTTTTTTTCTAAAAGGATCACATTTATACTGTTTTGGACACTAATATGTTCTAAATAAGGTAGTGTTGATGTTATTTTTACTAGTTAGCAAAGGTAAATACATGAAAGGTAAATACATTGTTAAGTATGTAAGTTAAGTGGCGTAAAAATTGAGAAATGTTTCAAATCTTGCTGATTCTTTTCTATGCTTGATTACTTTCGAGCTGTTGTATGATTATTTAGATATTTTTTTTTATTTATTATCGAGTATGCATACGTAACAAAAAGTTTGGAAAAATAGAATGCATTCTTTGTTAAAATTGATTCATTGGTGTTCAATTAATGTAGTTCAAATTAAAAACAAAAAGTAATCAGGCATCTAGCCATAAAATGTGGTATTCCCGGATAAGTCTTATTTCCTTAAAAATCTTTTTATGTTTTTTAAAAGGCAAAAAACTGAAAAGAATTAAATCTAGATTCAGACTCGTTAACTCGAATATTGATTCTTGACAATATCAACTAATCACAGGGCTATATAGGGCAGGGATATATATATATATATATANTTATAATGTTACAACTTTTCACTAAAATTTAAGTGAAATTAATTACTTTATTAATAAAATTAGTATATATATATATATATATATATATATATATATACAAACGTCAACGGTACATGCAACGAAAACAGAACTTTAATTATTATTTTCTTAAGGTGTATGAATTTTTGGTTTTTATACGTTATGTAAACGCATAAGGATTTTTTTTTCACTAGAAGATAAAGATGTGGAACCTGTAAAAGTGACCACCTGGGTAAAGTGAGAATCTGAGTAAGGTGACCATTTTCTGCAAGTTTTATTTAAAGAGTCCTTTTTAAAGACTCTTCATAAAGTGACCACCTCTATATAGTGACCATTTGACTTGGTCCCGAGGGTGGTCAATTTAGACAGGTTCCAGATATATTTTTTTACAATTATCATGATGTACTTAAGGTACTGAGCCCAGAATGAGGGTTAAAAAGAAATATGATATTTGCAGCATGTTTCACTTTTTACTTGTAGGGTCGATACTTTTGAAATTTTTTTTAGATTTACATAACTACGAATACAAATTGCTGAAATTAATATGTTGCAAATTAACGCATAGTTTTATAAGTGTATATTGTAATTATTAATAAAATATTATTTTCTTTTTAAAGGAATGCAAAAATGAAAAATTAATATAAAGTAAAAAATTGGACAATTTTAATAAATTTTTTTAAAAAATTATGATATAATATAATAATTATAATTTCAATTTTTAAGAATAAACTATAATTGTTAATTGAAAGTGCAGAATAAAAAGCAATAAAAAATATTGCTTTACTTTGAGTTACAAAATTATAAAAGGGGTATTGGGAAATTTTCCCGATATACGAATGATAAATTAAATTACAAAAATTGAGCACGCAAAGCCACTAAGCGAATTCCTTTAATATTTAACATTTTACCCAGCTTAAAATTCATAGTTTAAACTATATATGTATTTCATTAATAAAAAAATGCTTTTCAGAGTTCCACAGATAGGGGATGGGGGTAAAATACAAGTAAACAAAACACAAGATTTATTTAATTTTAATATATAATTTTTATAATCAATTCCACCATTTACTCATAATTTTAAGTGCATTCTTTATTTTCCTCAATAAAGTTTTCGCAATCTTTTTATTATTCATGTAAACAACTTTTCAACAAGAATATTTTGCAATGCTTCATCTTCGATGTCTGAATATTACAACAACTAGAAGCTGAAAACATGTGAATCGTTTGTATTTACTCATTGGGCGTAAACAGACGACATTTTTAAAGCAGCAGAATTTATGACCCGCAGAATGTAATCCGGAAAAGCAAACGATATGTATGAGGGAATTTAACAAAGGGAAAAATCCGAGACGAAATTCCCTGCTTTTTACTGAGTGATTTTCTCTCTTTTTCTTTTTTTCTTATTAGGGACGAATTCTCACGAGTAACGGGCGCTTATCTATATTAGATGGAAGAGAAATGTCCGTAGTTACAGTTAACGAAGTGACCGCAGACGATAGTGGTAAATATGTGGTCAGTGTTGAGAATGAAGGAGGTGGTGATTCTTGCTTCGCATCAGTTGCAGTTGTGGGTAAGTAAAATTAATTAATATTTAAAACATAGAAATGTTTATGCGTTTTCATACTTTCTGTGATAAAATAGTGTGCGTAAATGTTAAGTCTGACTAAGAGTGTGTTAGGTATTTTTTCAAATTTACGTTAATTACTATAATTTAACTTAAAAAATTGCAATAGAAATATTATCCCATAAATTTTTAATTTATTTTATTTGAAACTTTTAAACTTTAAAATTACATGTTTGTGAGCTTGAATAGGTTATTCTAATGTGGAAACGATGCATGCATGTTAGGATTACAGATCTTATCTTAACAATATTATTTAATTTTGATGCTTTAAATTTTATTTATTTGGGGTCGTGAAATATTCACGTGAAGGAAAAAATATCCCTGACAAACCATGATTGATATATTAATGTCAATTACATTAAAGATGACGGAATAATATTTATCAGAAACTTTTTTCATTTTTCTACGAAGGGTAAACATTTTCCCGCCTTTCAATTTTATCCTGCTATTAAAATGAGTTTTTGTTTTCCAGTAAATAACCTATATAAACACCCTTTAAAATTTCATGGTGTTCTTCCCTTTTCTATTAAATACAAATTTGAGATCCATTGAGATGTATTGGTTTTATTCTCCATTACCTTTATTTCTCCTAATAATTCTAAAATTGTGTATTAAGGATCCGTAAAATTATGAATTAAGAAAGAGCAACGAGTACACAATTTTTTTTAAAAATTAATAATGACTTTGAAAAACATCCAAGCAAAACAACCATGAAAATTATAGATTTCTAACAAAGTTCTAAAAATATTTTTTAATTTAAAAACTTAAAGAAAGATATTTAAATCAATGAATCTGTAAATAGAAGAAAATATCTATATTATCTAGGATTATCTATATTAGTTTACGTGAAATGAGGAGAATCTTTTTTCTGTCCGAGGTGGACAGTGATAATACAAGAACATTCTTTTCACAAGAATAGAATATAGATTAAAACGATGAATAAAATTAAAAAAAAAATTAAAAAAAATATAGCAACAAAACTATATTGTTCAAATTTTAAACGAGTAAGGGTCCCACAATGACCATGATGGAGATTTTCTCTGACCTTCCAAAGCACCTAGTAATAAAATAAGTAAAATAAAATTTAATAACATAAAATAAGTTGAGTTTTTTTAAGAAAACTATTTCTACCAGGTCTGCAAGAATGTTTCGCGAATGCTGCTGAACTATTTGCAAGGTGACAATAATATTTCTTTCATAAAAAAATAAAGCTTTCATTGTAGAAAGTTATGAATTTGTTTTATTAATTTTATGTAATAATAATGCAATATTAATGAGTTACATGGTGAGAATTGTATAAACCCAATTTCTGGTTTATACCAATTTTGGTTTATATCAGAATTGTTTGAGCTGGTGTTTTTATTTCTGGTCTATACCAATTTGTCATTCCTGGTTAGAAGAAAACATGATTTTGGAGTTAAAACCAAAATATATGGTATTTAAACCATTCATTTGGTAATTTCTTCTTTCGTCCGGTTTATTGAAAATTCTCGCTTTCAAAATTATATTTCTTATTAACACATATTTAGTAAAAATTTAAAACTGAGAAGTAAATTTAACTGAATATATGGTTTCCTTATGCCATGCTCTAAGGCAGTGTTTCCCAAAGTGTGGTACGCGTACCCCCAGGGGTACGGGAACAGTTTAGCGGGGGTACACGTTCTTATGCGAATATCTTACAACAAAAGAACATTTTAAAAAAATTTTATTTAAAAACAAAGCTCTCCTTGAAAATTTACAATTAAGTATTTTTCAATTGGCTATTTTTCGCCGAGTTAACAATTAATAATTAGTATTGTCAAAAGCCAGTTGTAATTTTTAACTTTTGTGCAATTTTTTTATAGTAAAATCTACATTAATTTTTTTATTAAGTTACACAGCGTTACGAAGAATTTATAAAGGGTACACAAAAGTCATAAGTTTGGGAAACACTGCTCTAAGGTATCACAATAAAATTACCAAATTTTACCACATTTACTACTAAGCAGCATGGTAATGAAACTATATTTGTTAATTTTACCAAAAGTCATTACCAAAGTGTTTCGGTAAATAAATGCTGTGCTTTTAAGCGTTCCCATTTAGTCAAAAATACGAGAATTTTACTGTATTCTGATAGTTTTTACCATGTTTTTTCCCCCGGTGTTGTAACAGCATTATCTTCCGTAGCCTTTTTTTATAATTGTACGCATATTTTTAATTTTTTTACATTGAAATAATACTTTTTTTTAAAATTCAGAGTTTGATCCTATAACCAACTCATAAAGACATTAAGTTAATTCTTATGGCATAAATATTAAGTTCATAATGAGTTTGAGTTGCGTTCATAATTTTTAATCTATTTCCCATGAAATGCATAAAAAAACATTAATGTCTGTAAGTCAGGATTTCTGAAATACTCATAAAAACTTATGAAAGCATATAAAATCTAAATGAGATGTAAAGGAAAAAATAAACACCTTCTAAATAAGCTTGCCACGTTTGTGAATGCGTAAGAAAAAAAAAAAGGAAACTTTTTATTGCTTTTTTTGTGTCTTGTATGGAATTTCAACATTACATTTTGACTTTATTCATTCAGTTATATCAGAAAAAAAAGGAACTTTTTTCGGATTTCTTTTTCATTTAATAATTTTTTAAACTTAAAATCCATCGTAGTTTTTGAAGCTCTCAGCGAAATTTTGTCGTCTATTAAGATTTTTAATCTTGTTTTGAATATATTTAATGTATTTATTTTTCATTCTCGCAATTAAATTATTTTAAAAATTCTGTTTCTCCAAGAATTTTAAAAGTAACACAATTTTACGCGCTAATTAAGCATGTTTTTTTCATCACCATTAAAAAAACAAAATTCCTTTAGATTGATGATCTATAACTTATGAAACAAAAAGAAACTGATTAGTTGCTTATATTAATATCCGATATAAATTATGACATTAGACTTTATAACGAATCGTTAAATTTAGTTTTATAAGGAAAACTAAGCCAGACATAAAAAGCATGATAATAATATTTTTTTTCAAAACCTTAGGAAAGCGTAGATCTATAAATAGAAAGAAATGTTTTAATTGTCATTAATATATAAAAGTAATAGCGGAAGCAGTCTTTCTGGCTATTGCTGCGTTCTTCACCAATTACTAGCTCCACTCAATTAATATATATACTAATTTGTGTACACACGGGCAAAGACACAAATCAAAATGAAAGAAGAGATGAATATATATCATATCATATTCATCAGTCCCATTTAGTATATATCATAATTAAAAGCTTTTGTAAAATATTTTAGTTCACGCTGTAACGGTAAATTTGTACAAGCATTTTTCTAACTTCCTAATTTTCAAGTATGCATTTTTTTTAAGCTTGATATTCTGTATATTCAATTATAAGTTCATATGTAGGCTAAATATTGAGTAAACCAAAAATTATAAGAAATTTTCCGAGTTGTGTTGGTGAAATTTGGTGGACCGAGAAATTTGGTTGACATAGAAACAAATTAAAATTAAATTAATGAATATTAAATTTGTTGAATTACAGTCATATTTTATTAAGGTAATACTTTAAAATAATTTTGTTTAGTCATTTAGGTATCTTTTAAGGTATTTTGCATTAAAAGAATTTTAATTGTCTGAATATAAATTTTGTCCGACTGCGCTGTAAAATAAAAATGAAAATTATTTGTAGAACATGAGGAATTGATGAACAGATTAGGAGCATATGTTCCTGATATGATAGTGTTGGTTACTACACTGAGAAACAAAAATATGTTTAAAATTACCTGAATATGGAAAAATTTATCATGTTACTGGCTTAATGGGAATGCCAAAAAGCTTAGTAATTTTTACTAGAGGTGCTTTGGTAATGATTTTGGTAAAATTAATGATAAAATATGGCTTTACCACCTGTGATAAAATTTGGTAATTTGATCATGCTATCTTAAAACATACCATAAAAACCATTTATTCGGTTAAATTTACTTTCAGTTTTGTGTTTTTTACTAAATGTGTGGTAATAAGAACTATAATTTTTTAAAAGTAGAATTTCCCGTAAACCATTACCATATAAACTGAAAAAGTACTACTAAAAAAAATAATTGGAAAGTGACATAAAAACCATTTATTTACTTAAACTTAGTTATCAGATTACTACATATGTGGTAATAAGGACTATAGTTCTATAATTTTGAAAACTCCAGAATTTCCGATAGACCAAACGACCGGAAAAATTACCAAACGAATGGTTCAAATATTTTGGATTCCTTAACCGAAAGGGATTTTTTTTGTTTGTTTATTTTATTTTTTTAACTTGAAATGTCATTACTATATATTGCAGTAATTTTACCACAATTTTTTCTCCGTGAATTCTCGCGTTGACCATCGCATTGACCATCAAAATAATTTCAAGAGTGTCTTGGAGTCTAATTATAAATTATTCATCCGTAAATCAAATAAATGCTAATTTACAATTTATCAGGTTACTAATTTGTTAAATTTATCAACTAATTTACAATTTATCAGGTTACTAATTAGTTACTTGGAGTCTAATTATAAATTATTCATCCGTAAATTAAATAAATGCTAATTTGCAATTCATCAGGTTACTAATTAATAATTGGGAATTCTTTTTATCTTGCTTATTGACATTTATTTTTTAAAACTTAGTTACTAAATTTCAATTTTTCAGGTTTTAATTATTTTTTAAATTTTCTCAAAAAAGCCATTACAGAAACATAAAAAATTTTTAAAAAAAGTATAAGATTTTAAAAAGTGAGAATTTTAAACTGAGTTTTATAAACGCATTTTAATAACTAAAGAGCAATATAATATGTTATAAAGTTACCATAGCGTGCATTTAATAAAATAAAAGATAATAAAAGAATTGAAGCATTAATTTATGACTTTAAGGGTTTCGGTATTAAGATTTGTATCGAATATCCCTAGGTTTAAATTGGA